AAGATTGATCCTTTTTCTTGACCAAAATAACGGGACTAGAGAAAGCGCTGGTGCTGTTTCTAACCACCCCTTGTTGCAATAGGCTCTGAATCTGTTTTTCAATTTCATCCTTGTGTAAATGAGGATATCTGTAAGGTCTCACACTTACCAGACCCGTACCCTGTAAAAGTTTAATTGAATGACTAGTGTTTCTGGACGGAGGAAGACCTTGGATTTCTTTAAACACAATAACAAAATGCTCCAGCAATCCTTCCAACTCCTTAGTCTGTTGATCAGAGACACACGACACCGGTGACTCTAACACCTCCATTAAGGTAGGCCATGCACAACCTGCTATCATTCGAGAAGGAGTGATAATGCTTTGGAAAGTAGCCATCTTATCATCTACAGCCTGACCAAGTAGTTTCACCATACTGCCTTTATGGTTGAACTCCATAGACATTTCTTTCCAATCCATGGTCACCTTCCCCAAAGATTCTAGCCACACAACTCCTAAAATCAAATCCACACCTCCTAACTCCAATACATAAGCATCAAAGCAAATCTGCACTGATCCCACTGTCATCTGAATTCCATTGCATCTACCCCTAGTTAGGACACGATGACCATCTCCTAACTTAACACCCAAAGGATTAGAAGGCACCATAGAAAATCCCAGGGCTTCAACCACCTTAGGTGATATGAAATTATGTGTGGCTCCACTGTCAATAAGTACCAGAATTAATGCACCTTGTAAACATCCCTCCAATTTCATCGTCCGGGCCTGATTTGGATTAGTGGCTACACCAAACAGCCCCATGGTTTTACATTCTAATTCCTCTTGTGTGAGCTCTTCTTCCGTCGCATCCTCCAACACCATAATCTCTCCTGCATCGTTAACAATTTCGTCATCCTCCAAGATAATCAATCGTAACTGTCTTGTTGCACATTGATGGAGAGGATCCCATCGTTCGTTGCAATGAAAACAGAGTCCTTTCACACGACACTCATTAACCTCTGCACTTGGTAGATGGCGAACACCACGAGATTGACGGCGTGAATTGTCACCTAAAATTGGGCGAGAAGATGCTGTAGAATTGGTAGGACGTGTTGAGACGGTTTGAGATCCAGAATCCGAACCAGTCTGCGTTTTGCCCAAAGAATTATTAGGCTGGGTCTGAATTGCAGATTCGTTCCCATCCCCTTCGCGAAAAGCCCAATTAGGCTTTTGAGATTTTGTCCAAGAACCATGACCCGGTTTGTAACGTGCTCTAGAACCCTGTCCAGAAGCCACTGCAAATTCACTTTCAACATCACGAGTCAATTGCATTGCTAGGTAACGGTTGCGAGGCTTGAAGGTACGCACACGAGAATGAATATCATGACATAAACCACCAATGAAATAACCTAGAAACTGTTGCTCTAGCAAACGACCACACTGTGAAGAATACAGTTCGAATTCATCAATATATTCCTCTACTGATCCTGATTGTTTTAGTTCTTTTAATTCCTCAAACGGATTCTCCAAACGCCCACCTCCAAATCGAACCATCAGCGCCTCACGGAGGTTCTCCCATGACAATTCCTCTGTGGAATCATGCCATAGGTTAAACCAATGGATCGTAGGGCCTTCCATACTCAATTTGGTCAACTGAATACGAACATCCTATGAAATTCGTTGTACCTCAAAGTATGTCTCTGCCCGAGTGATCCATGCAACCGGATCATCACCGGTAAATGCCGGCAACTCCACCTTCTTCGCAAATAAACGAAACTCATCCAGCGGTGAGGAAACTGTCGCACTGCTTGACTGCTGCACTTCACGATGAGCCATTGCATGTTGAGTCTCATCACCAATGAACTCTCGTAACGCAGCAATGCTAGCCTCAACACCTTCCAACCTTGCTTCTACTGCAGAAACACGGTCAGCCATCTTAGGAGCTTTGGGCATGAACAATGGTAGGTCGTACCAATTGATAGAACAGAGGTATGATATAATATGATAAAGAAAAGTATTTTATTAATGAATATGAAAGTAAAATAAATTCCAGAGCTACTGCTCCTCAGTCAGAGAAACAATTCTCTTACTGCCCAAACCCTAATATCAAAAACAGAAAATCAATCAATGCCTCACTACTGTCCCATACACTCCTCTTTATATGGAGAATAATCCCTAAACTAACTCCTATTTATATGGAGAATAATACCTAAACTAACTCCTATTTATTTGTGGAGTTTCCTATTCTTTCTCACATATACCCTCCATTGTTTAGGTCCAATAATATCTCTATTAACTAACACATTCCCATCATCATTTGTGGGATCCGATCCATTCCTATCAGCTAACCACACATGGACTCTTACAACTCTACCTCCTCATAGACAAGCAGTAGATTGTAAATGGGTGTTTAAAGTAAAAGAGAATCCGGATGGGAGTGTGAATAAATACAAGGCTAGGTTAGCTGCTAAAGGCTTTCATCAACAACAAGGGTTTGATTTCAATGAGACTTTCTCTCTTATTGTGAAATTAGCTACAATCAGAATTATTTTAAGCCTAGCTCTCACTTACAAATGGGACATCCAACAAATAGATGTCAATAATGCATTCTTGAATGGCATCCTTCAAGAATAAGTATACATGACACAACCACCAGGTTTTTCTCATGAGAACAAGGAATTGGTTTACAAACTTCACAAAGCATTATATGGGCTTAAACAGACCCCTAGGGCTTGGTATGACAAACTCACTCAAGCTCTGTTAACTTTTGGTTTTGTTCACTCAAGGTGTGATCATTCTCTTTTTGTGTACTCTAAACAAGGTACTAATCTATATGCCCTGGTTTATGTTGATGATATTCTCTTCACTAGGTCTGCTTCATAAATTGTTAATGACTTGATCACTAAGCTTCACAAAGCATTTACCTTGAAGAGACTTGGCAGTCCTGAGTATTTTCTGGGCATAGAATTTGTCCCACAACTAAATGGATCTCTCATCCTAACTAAAACTAAGTATATCAGAGATCTCATTGACAAAGCCAAAATGGTGAATGCAAATGGTGTGGATACACCCATGATGAGTACCTGCAAGCTGAGCAAGAATGGCTCACCTGCATTTTCTGACTCTCATCTATACAGGTCGACTGTTGGAGTTCTTCAATATGTTACTCTAACCAGACCTGACATTGCCTATAGTGTGAATAAGGCATGTCAATTTATGGCAGTATCATTGGACACTCAATGGGCAGCTATTTGCAAAATTCTTCGATATCTAAGTGGTACTCTCTCCCATGGTTTGTTGTTTTCTCCCTCTCCCTCAACTCAGAATTTCTCTTTACGGGCATATTGTGATTCAGACTAGGCAAGTGATCCAGATGATAGGAGGTCAACGTCAGACTCATGCATATTTTTTGACCCTAACGTTGTTGCTTGGATCTCTAAGAAACAATCACTTGTGGCTAGGTCGAGAACGAAAGCTAAATATCGTGCACTAGCTCACACTACTTCAGAGTTGCTATGCCTGGAATCTTTGCTTACTGAATTGCAGGTCCCTTTCTATCCTCCTACTTTTCTTTGTGACAACTTAAGTGTAGTTCTCTTATCTCACAATCCTGTTTTGCACACTAGCACAAAGCACATTGAGCTTTATATTCACTTCGTAAGAGAAAGAGTTGTTGTCAATAAACTTGCCATCCAACATGTACCAGCATTTGCTCAGTTAGCAGACACATTAACAAAGCCACTAGGGACTACTGCCTTCAAAGGATTAAGGAGCAAGCTCAAGATCGTTTCTTTTAAACCTCCTTGATCTTAAGGGTGAGTATTAGAGTAGTTAGTATTAATAATGCTATGTATGAACTGAAAAATGTGTATATGCATTGTAATATGTTAGCTCAAAGTTTGTTAAGAGTTTGTTAGAAGTTGATAACAAACTCCATCAGCACATAATGTATATAAGCTGATTTTATTGTATTTGTAATAGTTAAGTTGAATAAAGAAAATAAACACTAATGATGCAGATGAAAAAGTCATACACCTTGCACTCTTTCAATTTTGATACTAAGTATGCACAACATCAAATAGAATTGATATTTTGTCTTAGCACAAAATGATTTTGAAAATGGCACATATCATACTAAAATAGAAGAGTTCTTTAGTTGAAGTAGTTCAAATTAGTAGTAATATGTCACTATTAATTAAGAAGAAAAAATTCAATAATTAAATGTTTATAAATTTAAATTGATGTTCGAAATTGAAAGACTATAATATTTTTAATGCGGTAATCATAACAACTACGTCAAACTGCAATTGTTCTGTAATTCAAAATCGTACATCTTTTTACATTAGAAGTTAATAATCATATTTTTTTTACATTAGAAATTGTATAAAAAAATTTTGCTTAAATTTCTTCAAATATTTTTTATAAAACTCAAAATTTATACCCCAAAGTTCAATTTACTTTCAACAAATCTTAAAATTAAATATAGTGTAACTCAAAATTTTCTCAATCAAAATTCACGCAATGTTAGTAATCATCACAGTAATTGCAATCACAACACGTATATCAGCAATAGTATTTAAAACCATCTTTCATTTATTGAGCCTTCCAAATTATAAGGGCCCTTCACTAGTATTCTTCAATGTGATGTGTGTAACAAACAAGGCTCCTTCATTAGCACTTTCCAAATTTAGGCTCCTTCACTCAAAATTTAAACTCCATACTTTCCAGATCTCAGATCCACTTTTTGCAGAACTTCATTTCTCCCTCCACTTCCTACCTACCTACTCAAACACCATTTTCATATTCTTTATGCTAATCATTTTCCACCAAAACAAAAACCTTTTCACTTCAATCATTGTACCATCAACTTTTCACAACTAATCATCTCAAACAGTTTACAACTTCAAAAACAAAACAGAATAAAAAAAATACTCCTCATAATTATTGATCAAACATTCTGTTTCATGCACCACTAATTAAATCTATTTCATTTATCAGCAACTTCAATTTTTAGCCTCAGAATATGAATTTATTTCCTGCAATTTTCCTTGTGTTTCTTATTCCATCTTCACTTGCACAATTATCAAAAGCTGAAACCAGAATTCTCTTCCAAGTTCAGAAGCTTCTAGAATATCCACAAGTTCTTCAAGGATGGAACAACTGGACAAACTTCTGCTTCCTCCCTCCTTCACTCTCACTCAAAATAGTTTGTTCCAACGGCCGCTTAATCGAACTAACCGTCATCGGAGACCGAACTTCTCCATCATCACACAGCTCTGAACCTTTTCAAGCACTTTCAGGAACTTTCTCAACTGACTCATTTTTCACTGTTTTGACTAAACTTTCAAATTTGAAGGTTCTGTCATTAGTTTCATTAGGTTTATGGGGTACAATACCAGAAAAAATCAATAGGTTTTCATCTCTTGAAATTCTCAACATTAGTTCGAATTTCATTTCCGGTGAAATTCCTGATTCAATATCTTCCATGAAAAATTTGAAAAGTGTTGTTTTCGCTGATAATCTTTTGAATGGAAATATTCCAGATCTCACAAGTTTATCTTCTCTTGAAGAGGTGAATTTTGATGGAAATAAATTAGGTCCTGAATTTCCTTCCATTGGTAACAATATTGTGAAAATCATCTTGAGAAAAAACTCTATAAGATCTCAAATTCTTCTTGATCTTTCCAATTTTGAAAAACTTCAAATATTTGATGTTTCTATAAATAATTTGATTGGGAGAATTCCAAATTCTATATTCTCTCTACCTTCACTTCATTACCTAAATTTGTCTTCAAACAAATTTAGTGGAAACCTCTCGACGAATTTGCCTTGTAGTTCATCTTCATCCTTGAATTATGTTGATATTTCGCATAATTTCCTAATAGGAAAATTACCGTTATGCATGGTGAAGTCGAAGGCGAAAGTTTTGTATTCGTGGAATTGTTTGTCGATGAAAGGTTTGAAAGATGAACAACATTCATTGTCATATTGCAAAAGAGATGCAGCTTTGGCTGTTAAGCCTCAGAAAAGAAAGGTGGAGAAGGGATCAAGTATGAAATTAGGTCTTGTGCTTGTTATTGTTGGAGGTGTTGTGGGAATTGCTTGTGTTTTAGCTTTGATCATTGTGTTTGTCTTGTGGAAGTCGAAACCGGAAAGATTGAATCGTAATATGGGTGGATCTGTTGCTCATAAGTTTTCAGAAAAATCAAATATGAACGCAAGTAAGTTTAACATCATATCATCATCATGTTCTTCTTTTATTTACTTTTTTTTCTAAATTAATTTATGATTTGATAAGTCATGTATATCATAGGTTGAAGCAATAGTAATTATGTTGAAAAAAAGTAATTATGTTGAAAAAGTCCTAGGTCAAGTTTAGATAAATAACTTGATAAAGTGATTATAATATAAGTGTTAATGTATAAGGAATTTTTATAAAGGAAAATAAAGGAAAAAGTGAAATTGTTTTCGTATAAGTTGTAATTAAGCAAACATGAAGAATTAATGGAAATTAGGGTCACAAACAAACACATCCGTCTGGTTTAGATCTGTCCTATAATAATCTGAAAAAGGGCTATAATTGAGGATGGGAGTGTAAAATTTTATCCGCCTCGAAACAAATTTGGGGGGATGGACATACAAGCATCTTTAAAACCTAAAATTTACAAAAGTTCTTGATAATATCTGCACGAACAAAAGTCCATTAAAAATAACAAGTCGGGTCGGGCAGATATATTAGAGTGTGTGGTCTTAGAATTTTGAATCACCAAAAAAAAATCAGACAAAAAGGATATGCAGACGGGTCGGACCGGTTTTGTCAACCTATAATGTTAATACTTCATAAATCTTTTAAGAGACATTATTGAGTTTTTTTTTTATAATTTTGTTTTCTTTTTCATATTATTTTTCTCTGACATTATTTTCATTCAACAAAACAATTTCATTAAGAGTTACATTAACTTGTTCTGTCCTATGAAAACAGGACATGTTCCTCAAACAATGAGGCTAGTTACACATGGACAACCACCATACAATATTTTCACAGAAGAAGAAATTGAAGATGCAACAAACAACTTTGACCAATCAAATCTAATAGGAGAAGGATCACAAGGACAGGTAAAAAAGCTTTTAATAACCTTTAGGTTTTCATAACCTTCAAAGTTTTAATGATATCAATTATTTACCATCATATTTACACAGATTTATAAAGGTTGGTTGAGAAATGGTTCAGTGGTCCTTATTAATTGTATAAAGATAAAGCAGAAGGGTTTACCACATAGCATTATGCAGCAGTTAGATGTATTACAAAATTTGAGGCATAGACATATGGTTAGTGTTTTAGGACATTGTCTCATTACCCATCAGGATCCTCCTCAAGTAACAAGCACAGTCTTCATTGTACTTGAATACATCTCAAATGTGTCTTTGAGAGATCAACTTACAGGTAAGCAATCATGTAATTAAATTCATATATTCTTTCGTTCAACAAAGTTCTTGGAGGCTCAGTGTAGGTCTACGATAGTTTAACTGTGAAAAAATAAATAGGAGGCTTATTTTGTTATACTTTAATCATAACATATTTTGTGAGATCTTTTTTAACTTCGATTTAACTATGATTTTTTTAGACTCTGTGTGATAATCTATCTTCCAAGACGGTTATGTCAGTCATTTTGTATTGTCAACAAATCATAGTTGATTGTGATTTATTGACCATGTAAATTTTTTTATGAAGATGATATATCAAAATTAGGATTTAGTTAATTCATAAAAAGCAATGAATTGAATGTCAAAAAACTCATGTATCCTAGTTTATTCATAAAAAGCAATGAATTGAATGTCAAAAAACTAATGTGACATGAATATTGAATAGATGGGAAAAAGAAGGATATGCTGAAATGGCCACAAAGAATGGCAATAAGCATAGGAATTGCAAAAGGAGTTCAGTTCTTACATACAGGTGTTGCTCCTGGAATATTTGGCAACAATTTAAAGATTGAGAATATTTTGTTGGATGATAGTCTCAATGCAAAAGTTAGTGGATACAGAATTCCATTGCCATCCAAGGTTAGAACACATTACATTTTGTGTAGCACCGACACCTCAGAAAACAAAAAAGTCTGGTGTCCGACATGCATTAATATCAGACACCGACGCATGCGATTGTGTTCAATTTATTCATTTTGTAAAACTGTTACATGTATCGACATGTCAGTATCAACGTCGTGTTTTGTTTCTGGGCCAGTGCTTCGTAGACAATACACAATTTGATCATTCTCTAAGTAATATTTTGATTGATTTCATCTAAATTTCTAACATGGAATGATATATAAACCATGATCAATTTTCAGAGCACAGTTATTGAACAAAGTGATGCAGAAAAAGAAGATATTTATCAGTTAGGTGTTATTCTGCTTGAAGTCATAACAGGTAGACAGATTGCATCCTCCAATGAAGTAGATCAGCTCAAGGATGAGGTATCCATGACTACTTTTGTTTTTTTTCATATTTGTAATAAAATCATCATAGCAATCTTAAGTTTTCGGAGATTCTCTATAATTTAACCAAGGTTTAAGTGTGACAAATCAAATAAGAATCCTATTTTTTCATGTTTTAACCGTAACAAATTTTGGATCCTGTGTAGTCGTCAGTCTTGCATGCTCAAAGATAAGGCCCTTTTTAGTCATGTGTCATATTTTGGATCCTGTATAATAGTCTATCTTACACGCTCTCAAAGACGAATCTGAAAATAAAAATAATCATAGATTATAAAGTTTGTAAATCATACATGTGTTAATGTTTTCTGATACTAAATAAAGTTTTTATAATGTTCAGTTTGAAAGAAGTTCATCAGAACCACCATCATCAATACTAAGAAGTACAATTGATCCTTCTCTGAGAGGGAGTTATGCCTATGAATCAATGAATACTGCAGTTCAGATTACCATCAATTGTCTCTCAAAGGTTTCTAGTAAGCGTCCTTCAATAGAGGATGTTCTCTGGAATTTGCAGTATTCAATGCAAGTTCAAGAGTCTTGGACTAGCAGTGGGAATCTCAGCACAAAATTTTAAAACTCTTTGTCAATAAAAATGACGTTTGCTTGTGTTTCATATGTTCATTGATTATAATGAATAAAATGGTCATGTAAATATGTAATTTCATAAAATGTCCTGCATTTTTCTTATTTGTTTTTAATAAATTATTATTATTATTATTGGAGTTCCTATCAAATTTATATTTAGGTTCATGTTCCCAAGAATCACATCATTTCAGTATAAAAAATACATTTCACTATGAATAATGTACTAGGACTACTCTTTTTATATATGGACTATTCTAATTCCTAACCAAAAAAATGTACAATAGCTTTTGGTTGATCTCCTATCCACAATGATCATGCATAATCAAAAACATCATCGGTATATGTTTTAAGATCCACACTTCCATTGTCTAACAAAATTCATTTTGTTGGTGCAAAGGTAAAATAAATGATGAATAGAGAAATATTCTATTAAGAGAATGACGGCTACACACTACTACAAAATTGCAATGATTGTTACCCTATTTATAAGCTAATACTAGGGTTACTAGAATAAGATAAAAAATACTAAAATACCCTCTAACAAACTTAGGGGCTAAGAAAATAGTACAACTAATAAATATGAATTACTTCTAATACCATCCCTTAATTCATATTCCATCAAAACTTGTAACACCAATTCCATCCCTTAGTCTGAGAAATTGATCAGTCTTGATAGCTTTCGTCAGAACATCTGCCAACTGTTTCTGAGTGCTGCAGTGTACAACTTCTAGCACTACACTCTGAACTTGATGTCTCAGAAAGTGATACTTGGTCTCAATATGCTTGCTTCTCCCATGCAACACTGGGTTCTTGGCAAGATTGATTGCAGACTTGTTGTCAATCATCAGCTTCAGAGGTTTGTTTATTTTAATCTTTAGATCCTGCAACAGATTCAGAATCCACACAGCTTGGCATGCAGTAACAGCACCTGCAATGTACTCAGCTTCACAGGTTGATAACGCCACAACAGGTTGCTTCTTGGAACACCAAGAAATGGGACCTCCCAAAAATTTGAACAAGTATCCAGAGGTACTTCTTTTGTCAACTCTGTCTCCACACCAATCAGAATCTGAATAACTCAGAAGTTCTGACTCATCCTTTCTTCCAGAAGGAAACAACACTCCATACTTCAGAGTTCCCTTGATATACCTCAAAATCCTGACAGCAGCTTGGTAATGGGACCACTTAAGTTTACTCATGAACCTACTAACCATCCCAACAGAATAGCAAATATCAGGTCTGGTATTGCACAAATACCTCAGAGAACCAACCAACTGTTTGAAGGTTGTAGTGTCCACATCCTTTCCATCAGAGTCAGAATCCAGTTTCTGATTTGTATCAGAAGGTGTGACAGCAATCTTACAATTCTTCAGTTCAAATCTCTTCAGAAGTTCTAATTCATACTTGAGCTGATGCAAAATGATACCTTTCTCAGAATATCTGAACCCCATCCCTAGAAAGTATGTCATTTTTTCTAGATCAGTCATTTCAAATTCATTCATCAGAACTTTCTTGAACTTGGCTATCTCCTGTTCAGAACTTCTAGTCAATAGTATATCATCAACATATAAACATACCAGAGTCATATTGCCTTCAGAAGTATGCTGAACATAGACACCGTACTCCATCTCACATTTCTGAAAGCCTTGCTGAAGGTGAGAAAAATACTTAGAAGGGGGGGGGGGTTGAATAAGTATGACAAATAATCAAAGTTTCAAACACAGTTATTTTTATCCTGGTTCGTTGAACTCAACTACTCCAGTCCACCCTCTCAAGAGTGATTTGCCTTTCTCAGTCAAGGACTTAATCCACTATTTAATCAAACAGATTACAATAGTAACACCTAAGAACAACTGTTCTTAGTCTTCTCAAGAGCTACTGATCCCAACTGGATCCTCTTAAGGAAACCTTTTACAATCAATGTAAAACTATTACAAGAGTAAGAATGCTTCTAAAAAGCTATTATCACAACTGTGATATTTCTCTTAAATTTTAAGAACAATGTTACAACAATTAAGATAAAAGAGCTTTTGAGAGATTTGCTTTTTGTGAATTTTGCAAGTAGTTCGTTATTGAAGAAGATGGAGTGGACTTCTTTATATAGGCACTTAGATCCATGAAGTCTTCTCAACGTTGAAGGCTGTGCTGAAAAGCCTGGAGCCTTTTGTCTTTACATTGGAGGCTGTGCTGAAAAAGCCTGATGCCTTTTGTCTTTTACTTTGCAGAAACTTTCCTTAGAATGGAATGCACAGATAAAACCTTTTTGTCTGTGTTCTTGTGTCTAGCATAAAAGAGGAAAGAGCTGTTGAGATATGCCAACATACATATTCAAATCTTCTTCACTAAGTAAGTTCAGCTATCAACATCAGAGTCTGGATCTTCAGAATCTCCAGAGTAGAGATCTTCTGGATCTTCAGAGTCTTGGGATGTTCTTTAGATTTATGTTGAATCAGAGTATATGCAGCTTGTGTGCTTGAGCATGTAATTCTGTTAGAGTAGAGTCTTCTATATCAGATTCTTAATACTTATGCAGCGCAGTATCTTCAGAGTCTTCTGATGACTAAGCTTCTGAACTCTCAGAGTCTTCTATTCTTTAGAGGCTTCTGCTTCAGAATCTTTAGTAGATAGCACTCAGATTCTTCTGGAGGCAGCGTTCAGATCTTCATCTAAGATGCTCTTGAACCTTTGAAGCCTTTCATAATATCATTGTTCAGATCCAAATTTGCTCTTTAAGAATATTTTCTTTAGTACCTGTAGCAAACAGTCTAGAACAAATTTAGAGTATATAATTCTTGAATACAAAATTCATAAGTGTTATCATCAAAACATAGAGATATTACTAAGAAACAATCTGTGTTCTTACAATCTCCCCCTTTTTGATGATGATAAAACATGAGAAATTTTGTTCAATAAAAAGTATGAATTATAACTCCCCCTGAGATTAACAATCTCCCCCTGAAATAAATACTCTAATAGAAGAAAACACTTCCCTTTTTGATTAAGTATATTTCAGATTCAGAGCCTGATGTAAGAGGTTTGACTTTCAGAATCAAATCTTGATACCAGATAATTATGACTTCCTTCAGTCAGAGCGTCTGGTTATCATCTTGCTTGAATTATCTTCCAGAGTAAAGGTATCAGAGTAAGCTATCAGAGTTGATTTAATACTCAGATTTGCTTTGAAGATCAGGTTCTGGTTGGAAAAGTCTCAGGGTAACTTCAATGAATTATGTCAAATATATCAATGTAATCTGAAAGACTTAAATTCAAAGTAAGTTAATAAAATGTCTGAATTTCAGTTTTAGTAATTGCTTATAGGTTGAACAATCAGATTCTCTTTTTCTCCCCCTTTTTGTCATAATCAAAAAGATTTTTAAAGAGATAAAGATACAGAAGAAAAGAAGCACATAGAAGCAAAAACATCAACATTCATTTAAGCATATCAGAGTTCACCATCACAGATAGATGCCAAAAAGCATAACACAACAATAAGAAAACAACAGAAGCAATAACATGTGCAAAAACATCAAATAAAACTAAGTCTGGCGTGAGGCAATAAGGGTCAGAAGCTCTGTCATTTTGGCAGTTGACTCTTCTTGCTTAGACATCCAGGTCTTGATCTCATCAGTTGTCTTCTCTTGCTTGACCATCCAATCTTTTATTTCCTTGACATCATTCACAAGCTCTGTGACCACAGATGAAGAAGGAGCAGATGCAGTAGCAGCAGTGTTCTCTTCATACTGGTTCTCTTCAGAAGCTTGTTCAACCATTTCAGATTCAGGAGCCTCCGGAGGAGCAGCTTCCAAAAGCAACACAGGAGGAGGAGGAGGCATGTTCATCAGAGTTATCTTGATTAATTCTGCAAACTGAGTCTTAGCAAGCTTAGAGTGTTTAGCTCTAACTTTTAAAGCAACTTTGTTGAACATCCAGATGAAACGCTTCCAAGCAGCATTTGAAACAGTTGGATCCAAACTTGACATGCACACATCCTTAACACGAGCATACTCAGAATCTATCTCCTTCTTGAATATTTCAAACATAGCATTAACACATGATCCTAGATCTGACTGTTCAGACTGTTCAGAGGGTTTAGGATTAGGAGTGTTAACAAGAGTAGGTTCAGATGGTTGAGGTTCAGATGGTTGTGGTTGAGGTGATGTTGGTTGAGATGTTTGGATGTCAGATTGAGGGAGTTCAAATGGTTGAGGAATGGTTTGTGTTTCAGATAGATTGGTTTCAGATGGTTGAGGGATGGTTTGTGTTTCAGATGTTTGAGTTTCAGATGGTTGAATTTCAGATGGTTGAGATATGGTTTTTTGAGGTAGGGAGTTGGGTGGAGTATGAAACATGGAAATGTTAACATGTTCCTTCATAGCACTGTCAGAACGTGCTTGTTTGAGTGACTCTGGTTCAAAATCAGATGAATCAGATGATTCACAATCAGATGATTCATCTGAGTGAACAGATGTTGAAGAAATGTTAATGGATTGATTGAGGGGTTCTATATCCAGAATATTGTCAGAAAGATTTGGATCTTCTGATGGAACTGGTTGTTCAGAGTGTTTAGTTTGAATAGTCTCTGGTTGGTTTGGTTCTGAGATGATTATATCTGGTTGGGGAATTTCTAATTGGGGATTTTCTGGTTGTGAGATTGCTGGTTGTGGAATTTCTGTTTGAGGAATTTCTATTTGTGAAATTTCTGGTTGAGTAGGTTGAGGGGGTTCAGATGTAGTATGAGGTTGGGGTTCAGAGGAAATTGGTACAGAAGATGGTTGTGAATGTACTGGTTCAGATGAAGGTGGTTCAGATGAAAGGTTTCCAGATTGTTTGGGTTTAGAAGTTCTATGTCTAAGGTTTGGAGAGAGTTGAGGTGATGAAAGGGGTGAATGAACAGCAGGTGTAGGATCAGATGTTAATACCTGATGAATAGTGTCTCTAATCTCTTCCAGAGTGGCATCTCTAGAATTGATTCTGGCTTTCTTTACTCCT